CCTCTTGTATCAAATATATGCCTGCAAATTTTCTTCTCCAGTATTTTTCCTTCCCACACCCTTTGTTAAGTGTATGTTATTAATAAGAGTTTCAACGTTAAGAATGGCCACAGAAACAGTTTTTCTCCCCACTTCAATCTCAACTTGCTTCCTCTACACCTGCACCTCACAGACCTCAGAGAGCACTGGTTGTAATATTTATAGATAGGAGTTAAGGAAATGATTCATAAAACCGTAAAAGGATATGAGAGAGACAATGGTAAAATCACGTGTATGTAAAGAACTAGAAAGGTAGAGATTACATCCATGCAAGTCTGTACTGTAGTGACAATGGTATACACATATCTTCTGATAGATAAAGAAGGGAGGCTTCATTCCTGGAAGTCTCTAGAAAGTCTTGTACATGACTAAGGTGTTTCTTTGGAAGGAGTTCTGAGGGCAGGACCAAAGCCTGATAATTCCAGACCATCCAGAAGAAAACTCTGTGAACAACTCAAAGTAATGAGCAAGAAATGTGAGGTCATGCATATTACAAGGGGGCTGACTCATTGCACAGGGCAGAGGGCAGAAAAGCGTCAAACTCACGGGGCATTGCCCGGCTTCACTCCATGGGGATGCTAGGAGGAGACAGAACAGCAGAACTGCATCTGTTCCATGTTTATAACAAAACTGCCAAGTCTACATAAAAACAAATCTGTTGCTTTGCAATTATGCTGAAGCTGGGCTTTTTAGCACTTGCAAGAGTTATATCAAATGGGGGAAAACTGTCTCATTGGCAGGGGAATATACATTTTCTACCCCTTCCCTCTAAACTCTCATAGCCAGTGTTATCATTTGCTCGGTAGAGACCTTTATTAGAGTACAGAGTTGAACACAAAACATCTGTTGTGGCAGAAATTCTCCTAGGTCCATATATAACTGAAGCTTCACATAGGAAAAATAATAAATAGTCAACTTAGTACTCTGCTACTGCCGTTGTTACCGCTTCTGTTTGCTTTTTTGAAGTATATTTTTCAATATACCTTTATCATTATACATGGTAAGATCTAGTTTGGGGAAACAGATTTTTATTAACTGTGACGTTTTCATTAAGAAAAATAGACAAGGCTAGAAAGTAGTTTTAGTTGAAAGTAACCAGATTTTTTTTTTACTCTACAAAATTCTTCAACACACTTGGCTTGATATACTTCAAATAATAATTGCAAATGAGTGCAAGGGAGTTGAAAGCCCTAAATAGGCTCTTTGACCTTTTCATTTTATATTTTGAGCCCTCAGTTAATGACCAGGTATAGTAAATGCTTACTAAATACTTGCTGAATAATACATGTATATGCAGCTAACCATGTATACCATAATAAAATCATTTGCATTACAGATGTTGTATCAACACACACATAAACATATATACGTATAGGTCTCCATATATATTCACTTTCAACATCTGATACATTCTAATTAGGAAGAAAATGGATACTTAAGACATTAAAAACTTAAGTTCTTAAGTAGACCAGCTTAAAAGATCTTGAGAGACGTTTTTGGAGCCTTTGTATAGCTAGTGTGGTAAAAATTCTGAACATAGGACATGATCTCTGAAGAATGGCTTTTTGCACCAATATATTTGCCAAGATTACTTTATGCTGTGGAATTTATTCCCTCCCAGTGTTCCAACTGCAGAAAGAGAGAAGCTAGGGAAACACCTCTGGTTACTTCTTTTTCAGGCAAAGCCCCAGTCGGTAAGGTCATTTGTGTAGAAAATCCTTTGCACCATCCTCTGGGTGACTGAGGCACCCACTGCAATTCTCCTCTTTTCCAACCTGGTGGAAAATGCTGTTGTTTTGTGGTCATTTTCTTAAAAGGATTCAGGAAGGAATCATTTCCTCCAACCAGTTCATTGAATAAACTGAGGTCCACAGAGGTTAAGTGACTTGCCCAGGAGTTCATGGTAAGTAAATAAGTGTCTCTGTCTAAGTACATCCGGAATAACAAGTCTTCTCAGACCCTTACTAGTGCCATTTGTCCTATTCTTAGGCTAACGTTTGCAAACAGCACAGAAAACAATTGCAGACTGAGAACTTAGGGGGAAGGGTAGGAAGTGGTCATTAGCAAATCCCTGGGCCTGGGGATCACCTGTTCTTCTGGATCAAAGCAGTGAAACAAGCTATTCATAAGGACATTAAGGACGAGTGGGCCATTGTTTCCTGAACCAGCTGTGGAGACTCAGCTCAGCAGTGGCCTAGGAATGGCTGGGCTGCGGCACCAAGGGGCGGGGGCAGCAGTGGTGAGCAAGGGAGAAGGGCTGCTGGGACCCTGCCGCGCCACCTCTCGGCAAACCAGGAAGTATTTTTGCAGTAAGTGCAATGGACCGAACCACCTTTTTGAACCGAAAGTGTGAATGGCGTACAGCAGGCCCCAGATGGGTTCAGTAACAGCAAACCCTCGGCGGGCTGGTGCCAGGGAGGCCGTGGACTTGCAGCTAAATGGTCAGAGTCCTGAGCAGCGGGTGGGCGTCAGAAAGTACGCAGAGCCGGGCAGGCTCCGCTGTTACCTTAGCAAACCGAGACCAAGCGAAGTCCCGGGTAAACAAGCCTCCCTGCGGCTGCCTCCAGACGCACACCCGGGCGCGCTCCTGTCCCCGGTGTTTCCCACGCGCCCAGCGCTCAGCTCGGTCGCCCCAGCCGCCCTGTCTCTGCGACCCCACCTTCGGGTCGCCACGTCTTTCGGCCCGGGCCCCCGCTCCCACAGCTGGCGCATCACACTCACCATCTCTTGCCTGAGGAGGTGAAGCTTGGCTTCCAGCCTCTCCAGGGTGCTGGAGTGGCTACCTCGTGGGGAGCCAGAGGTTGGGGAGGACGAAGAGGAGGATGACAAGGATTGAGGGAAACTGCAGCTGCTGCTGCTGCTGCTGCTGCAGCCTCCGCCACCGCCCCCGCCACCGCTCCCCCCGCAGGGGTCTCTGTCTCTTTCCTGGGGAACCGGCTCCTCCCCACGGAGCGAGCGCACTAGGCTCTCGGGTACTTTGCGCCCCAGCTTCAGCTCGATGTCTCTGAGGTCGGGCAGTGGGCCGTCTTCCATGACTTTTCAAGAATGATGAAAATGGTAATAAAATGCTGTGGATGAGAGGCGGCGTGGCCTCCAAGGCTGCTTCGAGATCAGCGCAACCCTCCCGAGACGAGGTCTCTATCCTCGGCAGGTCCAGGGCACCGTCCGCTCCATAACCACCTGGCCTGCTCGGTCGGTATCAAGCCTGAAATCCGCACAGGACGCGGCGGGTCGCAGCCGCAGTTCCCGGGGCGCTGCGACTCCCCCGACACTTAACTAAGATTATAGGGCCCTCTTCATCCTCTTCCTTTTTGGCCACCCCACTGCAAAGTTTAGTTAATGGATACTGCAGAGAGGGTGATATTGCAAGTACTATAGACCGAAAGAGAGGGAAATGAAATATGTTTTAGCTTTATGGGGGGAAAAATTCACATTATAAAACTGTCCATTCACATCCCAGCTCCGTTCACCAAGTGCCCATCTGGTACCATGCGACACAAAATAATGATGTGGCCACACTCCAGGGTCGTTTCATTTTCCAGCCATATGTCTCCAAGCTTTCGGAGTATCCTGGATTGTCAGAAGTAATTTCTGGTCAGGCATAGAGGAAGGAGGTCGGTCGTGTGTATGGAGGCATAAAAAAGAATTCTTTTAGCAGGAGTTTAACGGCTTCCTCGATGCGGCAGAAATACCCTTCTTCCCATTTAGGCTGTTTGATCCAAGTCATTGTGTTTCTCCAAGCCTCGGAAACTTTAAACTCCGCTGGCAGGTGGACCAAACCCGGGCCAACCCCTGTACCGTATAACACAGGCAAGAAGAGCACCAGAAAATTTCCTACCCCTGCTGTTAGCAGTAGTTTCATCGTCCTGTTTTAGTTGGGAGTACCTAATACAGGGATTAGATTTTCAGGTTTCCAGGCAAAATTGCCTGGTAGCTGCGACTTTTACAACGGGTAACAAGTATTAGAGGCAGAAGGATGATTTTAAATGTAATATCACTCCCCATCTCCCATCTTCCTACATGACAAAAATTTACCTTTAGAAGCCTAATGATTTTGTACTACTAAAAAGTGTCATCATTTTACCAAAAGTTCAGTGAGAATGTATAACCAAAGTTAATTGTCTTACCAAATGTTACAGTATGTCACCAGAAGCAGATGTGAAGAATTAAATAGCCGGAATAATTTATATGACTGCTAAGGATAGTGGTGGATTTTAAAAGGAGGAAGTTGCAGAGATGATTTCACCTTAATTATGGTGGGAAAATATTGACCATAACTAGTGAAAAACTTGTCTTTGATAATCTGTCTATGTTTTTTGACTATTTAAAAGAAACCCAAAGCATGCCATCTTTGTTCATCTGAGTTCATATTTCTACTGAGTAAGTTATAATGAGCTATATAGATTATAGGTTTGAGTCAACATTGAATTTGTGTTAATAAACTTCAAGAAGAGGATATTATTTTCAATCTAGTAAACTCTAGTTTTGGGGGTTCCATTGGAGTATTTCAGAATACAGGCTCTTCTTTCTGGGACAAGTAATTATTTGTGTTCTTGGTCCCTCCCAGAGACATTACTCAGGTTTTACAGTTAGAAGCACATAGGCAGATACATCTCAGAGTTTGTTTTTAGCAGAGCCTCATCCAGGAAGCCTAATGATAGGAACAGGCCTTCTGGATGCAATATTTCGTGTCAGGGAGAAAGGTGCTGAAGTTCTCTCATCAACATGTCAGACATTGTATGTTATTTCTACTCTTAAACAATATTTCGTGTCAGGGAGAAAGGTGCTGAAGTTCTCTCATCAACATGTCAGACATTGTATGTTATTTCTACTCTTAAAAAGAAATGAAGAAAATAGTTGTAAATTAAGTGACCCATTTCAGAGTTGGAACAACCATTTATGGAATCAAAGGAGAACAAGACTAAATCTTAACTCACTGATAGAAACGACATACTTGGCCCTAAATTTGGAAAACCACAGACTCATTGGATAAGAATTGTACTGTGACATGTAATTATGGAAGGCTTGTATTTCAGTAAGGAACAGTTTTGTTTTTGCCCTAAAGCCTTCACAGAGTTCAGCATAGGGCTGGCTAAGAAGAGTAGCTTCCAAATGCAGTATCTAGCTTGAACTTGAGAGTTTGTTGTCAAATTATCAATGTAATTGTACAAAAAAGGAACACCTCCTTTGCTGTGAGTCACAGACAGATACTTTGTATTTGATATGGAAGGTAACTCAAAAATAGAAAGCTTTCTTTTTTTCATTTTAAATTTCTGCAGAGGAAACTCCTCTGAGAGTAAAAATACGACCTTTATGTAAATTAATACTTTGTGTCAGTGCAATATAAAATAAACTTTTTAAAAAAGCTTAGTTATGTTAAGTCTTTTAAAATTTCTTAGTGCTTTATGGTATTTTAGTTTAGAGACATTTTGAATGCAAAAATGACACATTAGAATCACAGAACTCTTACTAGGCCTCTAATAGATGGTGTTAACCCTGTTGTTACTGCTTTAGATGGTGTGATCTGAGGACATTTCTTACCCAAAATGTTTAAAAATAAGGGTCATTTTTTACTTTTGGGTTTTGAGAATATTTTTTGTTTGTTTTGAAATTCTTCTATCATTAAAAAAAGATGGTGAGAAGTTTACCTAATGACTAACTGTTGGCCTTGTACATCTTGATTTGGGAAATTAGTTGATAAGAACTACAGTAATGGGTCCAGGTTGGGGGCTTGGGGTGAGACTGAGGTCATCAACAAGAAGAAGAGGGCACACAGGGAGAAGAGAGAAAGAAATAGGAGGGAAAAACTATTCTGAGTAATTTTATATATATATATATATATTTTTTTTTTGTTTTGGCTTGGACTCCCTTCCTTGTGTTAGAAAGTCCTCCTTCTGCCTTCCTTTATTTTTCTTGCCTATTCCTTAC